AGAGGTTGCGAAGGGAGATATGTGGAACCTACCAGATGATTGCTACTAATCAAACTTTGCTGAGCAGTATGAGAAGTATGTTGACTGATACCGAACTATGCCAGTCCCATGGAGTTGCTGTACTGCCCTGTTCATTTATTGCATACAAATTGCTGCTCTTAAATCAAAATTGGCCCCCAGAACCAATCAGAAGAGGAAACTGCAAAGGCCACGAAAATTCAGTTTTGCTGTTTTGTGAAGAGGGGGTTTCTCAGCTGGATCCAGGCATGAGGGAAGAGGTCTGGGGGCTTCCTGTCCTCTTGAGCTCTTCAGTTATGGTCTGTGAACGTATATATTGCATATTGTCTCCTAAAAGTTTTTGATAATTACAAATGGAATCTCCATGATTAGAGGTAACACATCCCTGAACTTGGATGGGTTCTTGTCTGGGGCTCCTTCAGGCTTCGCCCTCATTTTCTAGACAGACAGACAGGTAGATGTTAAGTTACTGAACAATGAAATGAACAAACTCCATTACTTGGGAAAAGAAGGGGGGGAAAACCCAATGGGTGGGCGAAAGACTAAAAAGGAAATGAAGTTGAAGGGAAGAAAATAAAAGGGGCAATTTGAGCCTGAAAACTGGAGAATATTAAGAGTTCGTGGTGTTTCACGTTTATGCTGTGCAGAACAATTCAGGGGCACCGATCCAATTATTTCCAGTGGTACAGACCCACGGAAGATGCTGTGGGTTCAGTCACTTGCTGCCCTTTGATCACAAGCAAGAGGAAAAATCCAGCCCAGATATTGAGGGAAATGCCACCCATCGTGCTGGCGTTTGCTGTGGGAACAAGCGGCACAGTGCTTGGTACAAGCTTGCAAGGTTCTGGGTGTGCATTTGATTTTCGTCAATGGAAATCAGCTGTTTCTCTCAACCCCCCCCCACGGAGAATTCATGCCATATGCTGCTCCATTGTAAAGAGGCCCTGAGGAGGTTTCAATATTTAAAAGCCAGCCTCTCGCTTACAAGTGGAAAACAATGACTGGATGATCCATCTAAGGTAAATGGCACAATGAGGATTTTAAAATCAGGGATGGTTTTGAATTTCTCATCCCTGCTCTTTCAACCTGACAATCCGTGTTTTGAGCATGTCTCTCCCTTGTGCAAATCAAACCTGTGGTACATTATTGCTTGCGTGGTTTTCTCTTTCCTTTGCGTCAAATTCCTCTCATAAATTATATTTATTTTAAATGCTGAGTGCTGATAGATCAGCACTGTACATCGTATAAACGCCATAAGCGCTGCAAACACCACACAGGTGGATCTGTAAAACCAACAGTGAAGAACTGAAACTGTCAACAAAAAATATAAACAAATTTCAATGAAGTGGAAGCCATTTGCTCACCTCAAATGTTGGCTTTGTGCCTCAGAGAGGGAGTATTCATCCTTTGGGGTTCTTTGTTTAGCAAAAACCAGGTTCCAGTCCAACTTACACCTTCCCCAATTGGGTTGCCAGGTTCCCCCCCCCCGGCCACCAGTGGGGTATGGGGGGGGAGGGTTGCCAGATCCAGGTAGGGAAACTCCTGGAGATTTGGGGGTGGAGCCTGGGGAGGACAGGGACCTCAGTGAGGGACAACGGCACAGAGTGCTCCCTCCAAAGCACCCATTTTCTCCAGGGGGACTGTTCTATGTAGTCTGGAGATGAGCTGTAATTCCAGGGGATCTCCAGGTCCCACCTGGAGACTGGCATCCCTACCCCCAAATATGTCCTGGGAGTGCCTTGGGCTGCCTATGCTGTGAGCATTCCTCATTGGGGCCCCAGTTCTAGAGTTTAAACCAGAAAGGTTAAATCTCTCCTGGTCTCACTTCAGGGCTGGTTGCTCCAAGGGTCTTCCACGCCTCTCTCCTGGGCAAACAAGGCCTAGCAGCGGGGAGGGGATTACAATGCCAGTCTCAGCAGCACACCCCTGGCCAGGGATGGGTAACAAGTTTCCCACTGTGGTGATGGAGTGGGGGCGGAGCTGGCAGCCCAAACTGTTGAGGAGGGGGAGTTAGGAGGCCCAGTGGGAGGAGCCATAAAAGGCAGTGGGAGGAGGCATAAAAGGGTGCGCAACAACTCCCGCCAAGTCTCTCCTCGATTTCTCTGTTGCTGATGGAGAAGGAAGCAGAGGGGAACCCTCAAGCAGTAGAAAGCCCAGATGTCGGTTTGGGATGGGGACAGAGAATGTCCACAGCCCAATAGGACTGGGGTGTTACTTCTGGGGGACCATCCAGCAGGCCCATCCCAGCCAAACTTTGGGATGACTTGCCAGTACATAGTTGGCGGACTGACCCAGTAGGTGCTTGGCACCCTCTTGTGGCCTTCCTTTAAACTCTTGAAGACTGTCATAGGGCTTGCGTGGTTTTGTAGTTTGTAGTGTTAGAAGCCCTTCCTTTTGGGGTGGTGTGTGTGTGTGTGTGTGATAGATAATAACTTGGAGCTCAATTTGTACACGTCAGTGAGGGCCTAAAACAAGCCCCAAACTGCCCTCCAGTAGCGCCCGCTGTGGATAAGACGTGGCCCTGGAACCTCCAGCCCTGTAAACTCCCTACAGCAAAGCCCAGTAAACAGATCGGAACCAAGCTGAACAGAGGATTCCCACCAGTTGGCTTGTGAGGAGTTTGTGCAGAAAGGGATGACCAAAACTGTACTTCATATTCTGCTATAAGTAAGAGTATTTTGCCAGTCGATGGGTGGGCCCTCATTCTCCCAGGCTCAGAACCATTCCTCTTTTTTCGTAGCTAAGTTGGTGGGAAGAAATCCTGTCGCAGCCCATGCAGGTAACAGAATGCACCGTTCCTTGAGCCTGAGAAGCAGCAGCTGTTCTGGGGTTGTTTTGGCTAGTGTCAAGCCAACTTTTTGCAGATGAACATTTTCAGCAGAAAAAAGGTGGGGGCTAATGTTCTCTGAATGACCCCTCCCTTTGTTTTGCACTAGCTCTCTCCTGTGGACTGCCCCCTCTCAGTGCCACTTTGATACCATTTTTCAAGGGGGGGGGAAGAGTTCTTCATCATGATCCAGCCAATCAAAAACGTAGGCTGATGATGTCATGGCTGTGTGACACCAATTGGACATGGCTATGTGATGACATCACAAAAATCAGATTACAGTAGGGACAATTATTCTTGCTGCTGCCTGGAATGGCGGAATATATTTGCCACATTCTGCAGGCCCTCTGAACTCAAATGTGTGACTGCATGTGTGTCTATTTCGTAGGGGGCAAGCATTCTGCACAAAACGTCCTCCTCCCCAAATTGGCCAGTCCCAGATTTTTCACTAACGTTCTAGACTTGCCATAACGTCCCCCAAATAAGTCAACCGACTTGGTGATTAAGACCCAGCCCAATGGCAACTTGGCTATGCTTACTTTTGTAGTAGTAAAAGAAATTCACCCCATCCATGTTCAGAGTCACCATCTGTTGTCAATGGATTTTGCTTCACTTCTCATTTGTTAAGAAAGAAACACAGAAGTTGTGTCACTGCCTCAGCTTTAAACATTTTATTTTAAAGTCACCCTCCCTAAAAAAAAAAAAAAGGAGAAAAAGGGGAAGGGCCATTGAAATGTGAATGAAAGGAAGACCGAACTTTGCGAAAACCCAAGATTCCGTGGACAGGGAGACAGAAGTGGGTGAAGAAAGGATCAAGGATGAGCCACCACGACAGAAGAGAGCCAAGCGGGAGAAGCGGGTGTGATCGCTTCGCAGAAAAAGGTACCTGGAACAGGAAAGCGGTCTGGACAGACGGTCCCTGCAATGATGGGCTGAGGTATTCCGGGAAAAGCACCAAGATCAGCAGGGAAGGAGTGAGGTATCTTGGGGGGGGGGGGATGAGGACGGTGGAATCTTGTTCTGTTTTAGCTCAGCTGGAAGCAAATCTGAAGACAGCCATTCAAAAGAGTACACACAGATTAAGACTCACATATATTTTACGAAACACGGAAATTCCAAACAGGCACCAAAGCGTTCAAATACAGTACGGCCCCCGATTACATTAATATTACATTCCTTATATAGAATAAAACGATTACCATAATATTAATCTCCTCTTTTTTTTCCTTTTTAAACTCCAAATTTACATACAGAGTCTAGATTTCTACAAAACTGAAACAAAAATGGAAGAAGAAGAAAAACTCGCAAGACTGGGTGGTGAAAAATACAACCTCAAACATTCCTTGACAGACAGACCCAAATAAGCGGGTCACCCTTTATTCCTGTTGTTTAAACACAGACGTGGGTGTTCAAAGCCAGGAGCGGCTGTCAAGAAACGAACTGGCATGGACAATATACCCGGAAACATAGAAATCTCGCCAATCTCTTTAAAGAGCAAAAGCCAATGCCAGTCAGCATTTTCTCTCTCTCTCTTGCAGTGTCATGTTTTGGCGGAAAAGTTGCACAAATACAAACACACACACACACACACAGACAACACACACATCTATATATAAAAGCGGAGAAATGTGTTTTTATAAGCTCAATGTTTGCTTTGTAAAAAACATTTCTTTAGGTACACATCATGTTAAAGCACGCACGACAAATGACCGTTACGAAACCTGGATTCCAAAGGAAAATATAAAATCTCATAGGCACGTTAAGTTAAAAGTCAATTTGCAGTTGTTTTGCTGACAGTCACAACACCCCCCCCTCCCCATTTCCCTTGTTTTTGTTTCTATAGAGAACGTGCCCCAAGTTGATGGTTTGGTGGGTCTGTGATGAAGAGACGTCATAGCACCTCTTAGAACCTTAAATAGTTTGTCATATATAAAATAACACCATTTTTTTTCTTAAAAAATAAAAGAGCACCAGGTATTTCACAGTGAGAGGTAGAATCAAATTCATCAAGCCCATCCCCCCCTCTCTTTGTTCTGGTTTTTTTTTTAGCACCAATCCTTCTAACCTCTGTCCTGCATTGGGCTCCCCCCCTTCTCACCCTGGCGAAAAGGGACGTCTTCTCTCCCAAATGGAAGAAGGATCTCACTTGGTTTCATTTTTATTTTTTGCCTTAAATAAAATATATTTTCTCTCTCTCTCTCTTTCTATAATATTGCACATCAAAATGCTTCCTGTTCCAGAACAACAAGCAGCTGAAAACAGTTTGCAAATCCATCTTTCCGAGTCTCCTTCCTAACTCATTCTGCAAAGCCCTGCTGCCTGTTAAGAAGTTCCGCAAAGCCCTGCCTGTTAAGGTCACGGTCCTGGAAAGCCACATTTGGTAACACGAAGACTGAGCAGGCTATTCCGTTTTTTCTCTGAAAGATCTTGTCTAACATTTCTTTGGCTGAGGGGGACAAATAAAAAGTTCGGGTGTAGTTCAGGATGACCAGCCTCCTTTTCAGCTTCCTAAAGCGCCATCGATTGAATCCCGCCTCTCTCATGGCCATTGCTCTTTCCTCCCCACGCTGGAGAACAGGAGTCTCTGGCGGACTGAGGCTTTGTTACGATTTTCATGAGCCTCGTGGTCCGAGCTCCGAAGGCCCAGGCCTCTGCCCTGTAGAGGGGCCGGTGGGGGAATGAGCCCTGCTCAAAGGTGCAGCACCCCCAAAATGAAAGAAGTCAAAAAGTTCGAAGCGCTGCAGAGGCCGCCGTTTAGAGGAAACACACAGGCCCAACTTCGAGGAGATACTGTTTCCCTGGCTCGGATGGCGGAAGGTTGTAGATATTGGTGATCGGTAGCTGGTGGAGGTCTTGCGTCCGGAATATAAAAAGGGTCTGATGCCACTGTCCATCTTGGATCTGAATGCAAACATGAGCAGGAGAGAAAGAGACAGAGAGAATACTTATCATCACATATAAGAAGAGGGAAGAGATTGGATTTATACCCTGCCCTTCACTACCCAAGGGAGTCTCAGAGCGGCTTACAAACTCCTTTCTTTTCCCCTCCCCACAACAGACACCCTGTGAGCAGTGTTCCCTCTAAGCTGAGTTAGTGTGAGCTAGCTCACAGTTTTTTAGCCTCCAGTTCACTCATTTTTGTCTTAGCTCAGGAAGGATGGTTCCAGAGCAAACTAATTTGTGCGGTAGCCAAATCGCTGGCACACAACTTTAATGCCAGTAGCTCACAAAGTAGATGTTTTGCTCACAAGACTCCACAGCTTAGAGGGAGCATTGCCTGTGAGGTAGGTGGGGCTGAGAGAGCTCTGACAGAAACTGCTCTTTTTCAAGAACAGCTGTGCCAGAACTACGGCTTGCCCAAGGTCATCCAGCCAGGTGCAAGTGGAGGAGTGGGGAATCAAACCCGGTTCTCCCAGATTAGAGTCCGCACACTTAACCACTACACCAAATGTATCTCTTTTGTCTTACATACCCAGGGTTCCCAGGGGCTTACCGTCTGCTGACGGGGGCTCCATGCTGCTCGCCAGGAACTTCTGACATGCGCAGGGCACGTGTGCTGCAATGATGTCACCCAGAAGTGACGTCATCGCACCAGGGACGTCATGCAGGGGATGCTCTAGCATTTGGCCAAAAACTCTACAGTCACCAAAAAGTTTTTAGTCAATTGCTAGAGCATCCTCGATGCTATGACCTCACCTCTGGGTAATGTCACTGCACCGGGAATGTTGGGGCCGGCGGATTGGGTCCCCTGAAATCAGGGGAATCCCCACCCCTGTCGGGGGGATGGCAACCCTATACATCCCTGCCCTGACAACCAGTAACGCATCATCCTCTACCCAGCACAAAATTCTCAATGTCTTCCTGTACCATTAATTGAAACAACAGTGCAGTATTTTCAAACGGTCAGAAGGTGGTGCTGTTGCTTTACGGAATCTGCACTGTAGTCGATGGCTGGCGAGCAGACATCCGCAGAAGAGGGGGGGGGGGGGGACCAACTTTTACAGCAAGAGGAAGCCTGTAAACAGAATGACGACGAGTGATTCCGCACTAGACCTTAAATCCCCGTTCAACCCTGTCCCCAAACTTACATTCTACACTACATTCAAGTTCACCCCTGTAATTATCTCGGGGTATTCTTTGTCTCCACATTACACTGAGGTCACCCCAGTTTTGCCCCACACTTGTCCCGGGATAAACGGGTGCTGTTATAACCAGGGATAAATGCAAGGTATTGTGTCGCGAGCTGAACGCTGATAAAACCAGGGATGTGATCCAAGTGCGGAAAGGACCTACCTACTGTAGGAGTAAACCTGCAAAATAATCCAGTCCCGCCAGTGGAAGTAAAGCCTCCCCCGTTCCTTCCCGGCCCTCCAACCCCCTCTGGCCTACCTTGCAATTGTTTGCCACCACCTCTGGTCTCAGCTGCCCTCCCGCTTCAAACATCTGCCCGTTCCAGGCCTTGAACTGCACCCCTTTCTCCGAGGGTTCTTCCTGCCAGACGGGAGTGTTGAGGCAGTGGACGGTGATGTTCTGAACAACCTCAGAACTCAGGAGGTGAAGGAAATTCATTTGCACTCTTCCAATGTCAAAATCCAGCTGGTTTAAGGAGAGATGGAAGTTAAGGGGGGGGAGGACACAGCCCCCAGAGCAGGCAGGGGTCACACACCTGGATCACGCCCACACGGAGTCCTTGCCAGGGCAGCACACCTTCGGCGCGCACAAGGCTTTGAACCATGCCCGGATCCCCCACCACCACCACCCAGACCTCCTCCTGCTGGTGGGGCTTTCAAACTTGTCTTGACGGCCATAAGAAAAACTAAGACGACAAGTAAACACAGAGACCAAAAAGGAAGTTGAAGGCGGCATTCGGGCGCTGTTAAGAAACCACAATGTGGACGTCGGTCAGGTGAAGAGGGGCCAGGCTGCGCGGTGAGAGCATCGTGGCCAAGCAGGGACCAGAGCCTGAGTCACTCAGGTCCTGCTTCGACTTAGATGGCCCAGGCCAGCCTGATCTCACCAGAGTTCGGCAGCCAAGCAGGGTCAGCTCTGGTTAGCCCTTGGGAGAGAAGACCACCCAGGAAGTCCGGGGGCACAACACGGAGGCGGGCGACGGCAAACCACCTCTGGCCGTCTCTTGCCTTGGAACTCCCATGAGGGGTCGGCCAGGGCTTTTTTGGTACAAAAAGTGCAGCAGGAACTCATTAGCATAATAGGCCACACCCAACAGCAGAAACCCATTAGCATATTAGGCCACACCCCATGCCTTCCCTCCGCTTGCCCCCGGGGCTGGGGGGCGCCTGGGCAAGCCGGGCCTTGGACAGGCCGGGGAAGGCACGAGGAGGCATTTCAATGCCTCCCTGATCCTTCCAGGGCTCCCCTGGCCTGCCCGCCCGCCTGCCTCAGAGTCGCCGGGGTGTGTGTCACTTTCCAGGCCTCCCCTCTGTAGCCACCCACGCAGAGGTTTTGGCTGTAGTGGGCGTGGCCAACTCTGAAGCCAGCCGGAACTCCGTTCCTGTGCGTTCCTGCCCCCCCAAAAAGCCCTGGGGGTCGCTAGGAGTTGGCTGAGACTTGATGGCACATGTCCACCACCACTCCCAGGGTCTAGTTCAGCATTCTAACCACTGTCCCCCCCAGGAGCTCTCCCAGTAATGACAGGGCAGCCTTTCACATGCCCTTCCAAGTATTTGATGCACTGCCCCGATGGACTCGTCGCATTGAGGTGGCACCCCCAGCCCGCAGATGAGATGGCTCAAGACTTCACATGAACACACACAAAGCTGCCTTATACTGAACCAGAGCCTTGGTCCATCAACGTCAGTATCGTTTACTCAGACTGGCAGCGGCTGTCCAGGGTCTCAGGCAGAGGTCTTTCCCATCACCTATTGCCAGGTACTTTAATGGGAGATGCCGGGGACCTTCTGCATGCCAAGCAGAGGCTCTACCACTGAGCCATGGCCTCTCAACTTACCTTTGAGGCAGTGATGGGGCTGACACAGGTCTGTCCCCCTTGGGTGAAGTTACAGGTGACTTGAATGCTATCTGAGGAACAGCCAAGATTTGGGTCAATCCAGTACGGGCCTGGAGAAAAGAAGGATCCTGGCATTAGAGGAGGGCATCAACACGGGAGCAGTTCCACTCGTGACATTTTGCCTACAAGACATGCCCCTGTTCTTCACATTGGCATGCATTTGGGTCAAAGCATGTTGGAAATCACAATGTTGAAGGATGTGCAGAAAATCACAAGGTCTAAAGCTCTGCCCCCCCATGCCTCTTGGGCAGGATGACGGGAGAATTTCATAGCTACCAGAAATGGCCTGATGGAGCTGTATTAATAGTATTAAGGCCGAGAACTGTCTTGTGTCAGTTTTGATTATGGCATGTGCTAGTTTGTTGCAATAATCATTTTTAATCGCTTTCTTATGTCTTGTAGATAGTTTCTGAACTTGTCTTATCATTCTCATGGATGCCCCCTTGGAAGCTCAGACTAACAGCTCCAGGGTTTACCTTTCGATCAGTATTTCGGATTGTCAGACTCTTGAACAAACTTGCTCCCAACAACACTCTCTTGGCAGTGATTTGTTTATTGAGAAATGAAGATGTTCCAAGCTAAGACCATTCGTGTCAGAACTGACTCCGTTGGCGCCAGTTCTGAAATTATACATGATTCAAACAAGCCCCCCCATTAACCAGTCCAATCAGTCCATTCATTCAGCCCGCCTAAACCTAGCATGCCCTGCTAGCCCTCCTCCCATCACCTGTAAACCTACAGTTACATCATCTGCAAAAAGCCAGCTATTGGAGACTGGCATTCAAGGTTGTTGGGCATTCTTCCTAGCATCGGGAGGCCCACTTGGAAAGCAGTTGTAAATCAGCATGGCAAAGCAGACTTAGACACTCACACACATTCTCACACAGTCTGCCCCCCCCCTCAAAGTGAAAGAGCAAAGCATCAAAGGCAGTGAAAACCGAGCATGTGAAATCCATGGCAAACGAGGACCCGAGTTTGACACGGATTAGGGATTTGCAGGAGCTGCGGTGGCTCAAGTGGTTAAGACGCTGAACTGCAGGCTGTGGAAGGTCGGTAGTTCAGCAGTTCAAGACCCGGGTGCCGCATGACGGAGTGAGCTCCCGTCTCTAGTTCCAGCTCCTGTCAACCTAGCAGTTCTAAAGCAAGAAATTGCAAGTAGATAAATAGGGACCACTTCAGTGGGAAGGTAACAGCATTCCGTGCGCCTTGGTGTTTAGTCATGCCGGCCACATGACCACGGAAACGTCTTCAGACAGCGTTGGCTCTTCGGTTTTGAAACGGAGATGAGCACCGCAACCCTAGAGTCGGATTCGACTGGCTTTCGAGCAAGGGAACCTTTACCTTTACCTTTTAGGGATTTGCAGAAGCCCCAGAAGGGATTCTGCAGAAAAGCATGTCCCTCGTCCTGACATCAACATCAATATTTTGATTACAGGTCTACTTTGCTCATTTTAGCTCTCTTTCATTGGCTTTATAGTTAGGACTGCATGAAAAGTACTTCTTGTATGCAGGTTATGTCTAAGTTGCAGTGCATCGTGGGCCATGCAGTCTTTCATTGGCTTCATAGTTAAGACTGCATGAAAAGTACTTCTTGTATGCAGCTTATGTCTAAGTTGCAGTTCATCATGGGCCATGCAGTCTTAAGCCTGCATGCAGGCTCCCTGTATCAGTCTGTCTGCCACCTCCCAATCAACCACATAAGCTAAGCTGTTTCTTTTGGCAGGGTCTGCATTGCAGCTGGCCTGCCTGAGAGCAGCTCCACCCACAGCCTTCTTCCTCAACACTGTGGACTACAACAGATAGTCACTCCTTCAAATATCCCCAGAAACCCACATAAAGAAGAAACATGAACATATTTTAAATAATAAAAAACAGGTAAAGTATACCTTGCTACAGCTCAAAATATTTAATCCTAAAAATGAGATTTCCAGAAGGCAAGCTGTGCACAATAGCAATAATATGCGCACCAAATTATGTTAAAGGCAAATTCTTTAAAAAATAAATAAATCAAATTATGCTATAATTTCAAGAGGAAGATATAATGATTTTTGGAGACATGAATGGAGTATTAGATCGAAAGAAGGACAGATCAAGGAACATTTAATGTGGAAAACTACCTAAAAACATAAGAACATAAGAGATGCCAATGTTGGATCAGACCAAAGGCCCATCCAGCCCAACACTCTGTATCACACAGTGGCCAGAAATACCAGTGCCATCAGGAGGTCCACCAGTGGGGCCAGGACATTAGAAGCCCTTCCACTGTTGACCCCCCCCCCAAGCACCAAGAAGACAGAGCATCACTTGCCCCAGAGTCCCTACCTATACCTTGTGGCTAATAGCCACTGATAGACCTCTGCTCCATATGCTTATCTAATTCCCTTTTGAAGCCGTCCATGCTTGTAGCCGCCACCACCTCCTGTGGCAGTGAATTCCATGTGTGAATCACTCTTTGGGTGAAGAAGTACTTCCTTTTATCCGTTCTAACCCAGCCGCTCGGCAATTTCATGGAGTGCCCACGAGTTCTCGTATTGTGAGAAAGGGAGAAAAGTACTTCTTTCTCTACCTGCTCTTTCCCATGCATAATCTTATAAACCTCAATCATGTCACCCCTCAGTCGTCTTTTCTCCAAGCTAAAGAGCCCTAAGCGCTTTAACCTTTCCTCATAGGGAAAGTGTTCCAACCCTTTTATCATTCGAGTTGCCCTTTTCTGCACTTTTCCCAAAGCTATAATATCCTTTTTAAGATGTGGTGACCAGAACTGCACACAGTATTCCAAATGAGGTCTCACCATTGATTTATATAGGGGCATTATGATATTGGCTGATCTGTTTTCAATACCCTTCCTAATAATCCCCAGCATAGCATTGGCCTTCTTTATTGCAGTCACACACTGTCTCGACATTTTCAGTGAGTTATCTACTACGACTCCAAGATCTCTCTCTTGATCAGTCTCTGCCACTTCAGACCCCATCAATGTGTATTTATATTTAGGATTTTTGGCTCCAGTGTGCATCACCTTGCACTTGGCCACACTGAACCCCATTTGCCATGTTGACGCCCACTTGCCCATCCTTGACAGATCCCTTTGGAGTGCCTCACAATCCTCACTGGTTTTCACCACCCTGAACAACTTCGTATCATCCGCAAATTTAGCTACTTCACTGCTTACTCCCATCTCCAAATCATTAATGAACAAGTTAAAAAGCAGTGGACCAAGTACTGATCCCTGTGGTACCCCACTGCTTACCCCCCTCCACTGGGAGAACTGCCCATTTATACTCACTCTCTGTTTTCTATTAATTAGCCAGTTTTTTATCCATAAAAGGACTTGTCCTTCTATCCCATGATTTTTGAGCTTACTTAGGAGCCTTTGATGAGGAACTTTATCAAAAGCTTTCTGGAAGTCAAGGTAAACAATATCTATTGGATCCCCCTTGTCCACATGTTTGTTCACATATTTCAATATTTAGAAATGCTGAAACTAGAAAATGCTTGGAGGATCATGCTTCCAAAGGGTAGAGACTTCACCTTCTTTTCAGATAGGCATCAAACGTACTCAAGAATAGACATGTGTTGGATATCAAAAAGTTTGATGATAAATTTAGACAAAATATAGATTCGGCCGATGATATTTGCAGATCACAATCCCACAGAAGCAGTCTGTCAATGGAATAGAAAATTAAGAGGAAGAGGGAGATTGAATGATGCTCTTGTATTGCAAGAAGATGTAGTAAGGAAGTGCAAAAAAAGACCTGGAAGAATGCTTCAAAATAAATAATACAGAAGGAATGTCCTAGGCTACAATTTGGAAAGCAAGTAAGGCCTTTATCAGAGTAATTTTACTAGCTGCTACTTGCCAAAAAGAAACAGGAAAAATCAGAACTAAGATAATAGTAGAAAAAATCCAGAGGCTGGAACAAGAGCATAAAAATAACCTTAATAAAGATATGTTAGCAGAGATCAGACAACAAAGAAAGCATTTAAACATGTTAGAAATGGGAAAGGTACAGGGAAAAATTAAGATTTCTAAAACAAAACAAAAAAGCGAATAAACCTGGCAGATAGCATATTGTCTCAGGAAGGAGAAAGAAAAAAAGAATAATAACAGGTGTAAAGGAAGATCAAATTACTCATGTAGAAAAAGAAATACAAAAACAATGTATCAATGTTCTTTGAGGACTATATAGGAAGTCTGTTCCAGATGAAGGATTAACAAAATATCTAAAAGACCATTCCAATCACAAAGTTCATACCAGAAGGTAGAAAATTTTTGAATCAAACAATAACAATTCAAGACATTTCCCAGGCAATAAAGAATATGAAAAAGGATAAGGCACCAGGCCTGGAAGGGTTAACAGCAATGTATTACAAACACATTGAAAAAGTTTTAATGATACTGTTACAGAAAGTTACGAATGAGATAAAAGAAGGAAAAACAATACCTCCAATGTGGAAAAAGGCGTACATAACCTTAATATATTAAGAAGGCAGTGATGCAACACTACCACAGTCATATAGACCTTTCTCTCTGCTGAATGTAGATTATAAAATCTTTGCTACAATAATGGAAGAAATAATAGGAGAACGTATACCAGACTTAATACACAATGACCGAATGAACAAGAAGAGTTCGTTTTTATATCCCGCTTTTCACTACTTGAAGGAGTCTCAGAGCAGCTTACCACAGCCTTCCTTTCCTTTCCCCACAACAGACACCCTGTGAGGTAGGTGGGGCTAAGAGAGTTCTGAGGAGAGAACTGTGACTGACCCAGGGTCACCCAGCTGGCTTCATGTGGAGGAGTGGGGAAATGTTGTGTCTGTTGTGGGGAGGAGAAGGGAAAGGAGTTTGTAAGTCGCTCTGAGACTCCAAGTGAAGGGCTGGGCTTAAATCCAATCTCCTCCTCCTCCTTTTCCTCTTCAAACCCGGTTCTCCGGATTAGAGCCCGCCACTCTTAACCACTACACCAAACTGGCTATCTACTTATGAAAAACTTATGATTTATAATAGATGCAATTGAATTTGTGAACAAGAATAAAAAGAAAGCAGCTTTTCTATTTTTGGATGCAGAGAAAGTGTTCAATATTTAAATATGGCCTTTCTTATTGAATGTACCTCAGAATATGGGCTATGGCCCTGGATGTCAGAACTGGATGCAAAATATATATACAAATCAGCAAGCAAAGATTTTAATAAATGGGAAACTGACAGAAGCAATTACAACTGAAAAGGGCATATGCCAGGAATGTCCATTGTCACCTTTATAACATTTATTCTTCCAATGGAGATTCTGGCTATAAAGATCAGACAAGATAGCAGGATTAAGAGAATAAAAATGGATGATGTAGAGTTCAAGAGGAAAAGCTATGCAGATGATGTGGCTTTGAGAGTGTTAAATCCCCCAAAATCATTACAGTATGTAATGGAACATACTGAAGAATTCGGATCCGTTTCAGGCTACAAAATCAACAGAAAGAAGACTAAAGTAATAATGAAATTCTTAATGCAACAAGAAGAGGATATTATAAAGAGTACAGAGTGTACAGTAGCCACCAATCCCATTAAATATTTGGAAATAATTGGGCAAAATGGTAATCTCTTCAAAAATAACTACCAGGAAACTTGGAAACTGATACAAGCAGACTTATCTAGATGGGGAAAAAATTAAATTTCCTGGCTGGGAATTTTTTGCCCTGCAATTAAAACGAATGTACTGCCAAAACTAAACTTTTTGTTTCAAATCTTACCCATACATATAGAAGAAATAACACTGAACGAATTGCAGAGACAGATAAATTTATTTGGAATGGCAAGAAACCAAGAGTAAGTTTTAAAGTATTACAAGATGAGAAAAAGAGAAGGATTAGCAGTTCCAAACATAAAATTATACTACCAAGTGGCAGGTTTGGTTTGGATTGCTGACTGGATTAAAGACCCAAGACAAAGAATAGTAAAACTTGAATCAGCAGATCTAGATGAAGGCATAGATAATTATTTATGGATTAAGAAATCAAATAAAATGATTATAACACAAGAAAGAGGCCATATAGTCAAGGAAAAAACCCTTTTCACGACGGGACATGGGCGGGCACTGGATGCCACCGGAAACGTGATCAGACGCCCACCCTTGCCCCGCGGTTTCCGGAAACTAGTACCTCGGAGGCAGTGTTCCCTCTAAGCTGAGTTAGTGTGAGCTAGCTCACAGGTTTTTAGCCTCTGGCTCACACATTTCTGTCTTAACTCAGGAAGGATGACTCCAGAGCAGACTAATTTATGGAGTAGCCAAATCGTTTGCTCATAGCTTTAATGCCAGTAGCTCACAAAGTAGAATTTTTGCTCACAAGACTCCACAGCTTAGAGGGAACATTGCTCGGAGGTACTACTTAGGTGGGAAGCCTCGGGTGAGCCACGGAAGCTCTAAGCTTCCCAGATGTGGCGCTGTGATCGCGCCCGGAAAATCCACCTAACTTCCGTCTCTATAGCGTGGCTAATGCTCCGTGTGACCGCAGCCCCAGTCAGGCAGACTATAAAGAAAAAGGCCATATATATTCAGGGACAGAATATTGAGAATATGGTCACACACCGGAATCTACTGAGTCCTCCAAATTTTCCGCTTATGTCACCAACAGAGGTCTACCTACCACGATAAGAATATCAGAAACAAAAATGACTTTCCAACGGTACCATGTTAAATTCTCATGTGAAAATCAAGTCATGGCAGGACATTAGGGATGAAGGAATAATCATTCAATGGTTGTTGTATCTTCAATCAATTTCAAGACTAAAAATGATCATAAACACTGAAGGTGGAGCCCTAAGAGACATGACTGTGTTCAAACAGCTGATCACAAAACAAAAAGAAAATTTATGATGGATTTATATGCTACTACTTTTTAAAAATTAAAAAAAGATGGATTTATATCCTGCCAACCTAGCAGTTCGAAAGCAAGAAATTGCAAGTAGATAAATAGGTACCACTTCGGTGGGAAGGTAACAGCATTCCGTGCACCTTGGTGTTTAGTCATGCCGGCCACATGACCACGGAAACATCTTCGGACAGCGCTGGCTCTTCGACTTTAGAACGGAGATGAGCACCGCAACCCTAGAGTCGGATTCGACTGGCTTTTGAGCAAGGGAACCTTTACCTTTACCTTTTACTCCAGCTAGAGACAGAAGAACAAGTATGATCAAATCCATTATCTTGCCTGGGTATTACCCAGGATGTGATGGAAACAATGAGTAGTCAAGAACTGACCCAGCTCACCAGAAGACGTCTTAGGGACTTCGATTATGAGAGCCCACTGATCAGAGCACGCAGAGTGTGTTCATCCTTCCCAGTTGGCATTCTCCCTCCAACAAAAATCCCAAATTATGCCAAATTATCTATCTGAGGTAACTATTCCAGAGTATAGGGCTTTTATGCCCTACTGTCAGCAGTGACACTAAGAAGATTCCATATTCAGACAGACTCTGCAATAGTGGCAGCAACAAAACTGACCCTGTAGATCACATCTTCTTCAATTGTCCTAAATTCTCAGAACTAAGAGCTGGACTGATTTCCCCATTATTTAATCAAAACCCTCTTTCCTAGTGAAATCATCATGGCTACTCAGTGACAAAGATAAACTACTCTGTATTGGGCAAAAAATTTTGGCAGCTGTTGTTAAGTTACGTGAGAATTAACTTTTAGGTTCTCCTCCCACGGGATGAGGGTTTGCTGTTTATGACTTAGGTTGTAAAAACAGTAAGAAGTAAAGTAAAATATGATCCAATGGACGTAGAATCCTAAAGAACAGATATCCATGCATCAATGGGAAGGGCTATGGGGAAAAGATATCAAGTTTATAGCCAGGCATTATAGGCATTAAGAGAAAACTGGTGCAAAATGTTTTTCAGATAGCACATAACTCCAAAGGATATAGAGAAAGTGAACAAAAACTACAAAGGAAAATGTTGGAAACGTAAAGACAGAGACAGAACCTTCTTTCATATGTGGTGGACGTGTAAAAAAGCAAAAAGATACCGGAAGGATATTCATGGAGAAATGCAAAATATATTAAAGTTTAAATTCCCCATGGAAGCTAAGACTACGTCATTAGGTATATTGCCTAACAATGTGCCAAAAATTCTGGAAGAGATATTCAGATATATCATGACAGTGGCTGGGAATATTTATGCAGCAAAATAGAAATCGGACCTCTGCTCACACTTAGAAGAATGTAAAAATAAACTTGCCAAGTATGCAGTGATGGTGAAATTAACAACTTATTTGAGAAACAGATCAGTTGCGAACTTTGAGATGGAGTGTGTTTTATGTAAGCAGGGGACAAATTTAGAATGAGAAGTCGTTTTAAAAATCTGATATAAATGCATTGCAGTAAAGAAGCAGAATGAGAATTAGTTTTAAATGTATAAAGCTGAATATAATTATATCCCAACAGAAGTTACTTTCACTGTATTACACAGACAGTGTTTTAAAATTCTTTTGTGTAATGAAGGGGGTGTTGGGGAGAAATATATTTTACTTTCTATTTTCTATTTAATGATGGTTATTTGTGAAACAGATTAGCTATTAAATCAAGAACTCCCTTGAACTTAATCAGCACTGTGTATCAACATAAGGAGAAAGGGGACTATATTCAGGCGTCTTCACTACAGAGGGCCTTCCCCCATGATGCACTGAGGCAGACAACGTTCTCGGGACCAGTTTTTTTCCTGCCTACCGTCTTGCATCTTCTGTTCACAGTTCATGAGGTCTCGACAGATGCGGGCAGGGTTGTCCTTTGTTCCAAGGGGTCTCTTGATGCTCTGGATGAGGGTGCTGAGGTAGTGCAGAGTCTTAAAGATCTCCCCTCCTTGGTCCAGCACTGGAAGATCTGGATATTGATAGCCCTGCCCAAACAGAAACAGGGTGAGGGGAGCACATGCAAGTCACAGCTATTCCGACCCACAGGTTCTAGTTACTTTGGTGGCATCTGCATAGGAAAAACTCCCCAGCAAGACTTTAGCATGGGATCTACAAGCTGCCCAGCACGTACCTCCATCTTGAACGCAGTGCCGGTGTTCATCGTTGCTTGGAAAGCTGCACCAAAGCTATCTTGTTGCTGGTTCAGGAGAGGGGAGAAAAATGTTAACTTGAATGGAGACAGGTGAACTGGATAGAACTCTGCACATGGGCAGAGCTACATGCTATGTGTTGCTCAGTGTTGCTTTTCCTTACGGACATTCTTGCATTGGGAGAAGTACCAGGGTGGGGGGAGGGGGAGGAAATTCGATCTTTTGAACCCTTCCCTCTTCAAATTTACCTTCTCCCCTTTTGACCCCACAAGATAAGATACAGGAGTCTGTATTTTACCTCTTGGGGAGAACAGTAGCTGGGGGGAGTTTGGGGAGAGGAAAGGGTGAAATCCTCCCCATTTCCCGCTGCTGCCCCTCCTCTCAACTGGAAGCTATCTGAAGCCGCTGAACCCACTAAGAGATACCTCCCCGGGGAAAACCATCTTGGAAAGTATGCGACAGCCAATGTAGGATAGTGGTCAAGAGCACAGGACGAGTAGGGCTGGGGAGATCCAGAGCCAAACCCCACAGCCACGGCGTTCCCTGACTCTGGACCAGCCACGCTCCCAGCCTAGCCGACGTCACAGGCCAGCCGTGATGATAAAAGGATGGAGGGCAAGAGCCGTAAGCTGGCGTAAGGCCCTCAGGAGGTGGGTGGGATGAAAATACAATGCAACGTGCAGCCGTATTTTGAAAGAGGGCATCTTAGGAGATATCGTCCAAGAGGGACCACTGATCTGATTCCATGTGAGGCAGCTCTTTGTAACCCAGGAGGAGAACTTGTGCGCTGTATGCCAAGGGGCCCAGGTTCAATCTGCGGAGTCTCCAGTTAAACCATCTCGGGAACAGCCCCATAGCCAGGAAAGTTTCTGGTGGGGGGATTTGGGATGTGTGTGTGTGTCGTGCCCTCCCCAACATGGTGACATCACTAGTGACATCATCACGAGTGACGCCCCTCTCTGAGAGCCAACTTGCTGGCTGGTGCCGGGGCTTGCCAGGGACTCACTAGCTGGCTGGAGCTCCCCTCAACTGATAGGGAGCATCGCCCCTAAAGTCCCACCGCTGGCTATGGCCCTTCTGGCTATGGCCCTTCTCTCTAGTTTGGTTTGGCGAATCAGGCAGCAGACAAAACTGCACTTGATGGACCAGTGGTCTGGCTCGGGTCCCATTTAAAATTAAATAAGAGTCCAGTAACCCTTGATGTATGCCAAGTAGTAGAAGAAGAAGAAGAGACTGGATTTATACCCTGCCCTTCACTACCCAAAGGAGTCTCAGAGCGGCTTACAAACTCCTTTCCTTTCCCCTCCCCACAACAGGCACCCTGTGAGGTAAGTGGGGCTGAGAGAGCTCTGGCAGAAACTGCCCTTTTTCAAGAACAGCTCTTATCAGATCTACGGCTTGCCCAAGGTCATCCAGCAGCTGCAAGTGGAGGAGGGGGCAAACCCGATTCTCCTAGATAAGAGTCCGCGCACTTAACCACGACACCAAACTGGCTCTCCCCCAAGTAGCCTCCCCCAAGGCCAGGATGGTACCCTGGGCTAGGGGTTCAGTGTCTGGAGCTTCCAGATTTTTTTAAAAGTCTCTTACCAGGTGTGGGAAACATTTAAGTATTCCCCATGCCTGAAGGCTATTTCAGATGAGCAAACAGTTCAGGGGAAAGCACGAACAAACCACCCTCTCCCCTCATGCCATGGTCCCAATCTGAATTAGGCCCCCGTAAGTGTGGCAAGAGACTTTCACAAACCATCAGGAGCTCCCCAAATGGAACACCCAGCAGAGCATCTAGTTTGGTTCTACAGACTACTACATATTAGTTTTTAGCAGTGCTCGACAACATACAAATAGAATACAATCCCGGACAACTTACAAATGTAGCTGGGATTCCAGGCAGACCCTACAAAAAAAAAAAGACAGAAGAAAATGTATTTATACCCCCCCAAAAAAGCTGTTCCTTGGGCTACAGCTATTCTTCTGAGTCAAGATATTCCAAATATTCATTATAGTGGCCAACAGAACTATATAGTCTGCTTTTATAGTTGGCACACTGTGCAGACACCCCCACCCCAAATGCTGCCCCCACCCCAAATGCAGCACTCAGATACTGAAATCAGAACCCATTCTGTACATCTATGTGTATACTGTATGTAGAAAAACCATTGAGGTCACAGATAAGAACGGTACAAATACACACAGATAACAGAGACAAAGCTACAAAACCAACATGTCTCCCTTTCCACCTTTCCTTCCGGAAATTATACCCTTTTTGCCATTTACCTTCTCTAAGCTTCTCCATTCCCCATTTGGGGCTGACTTACCTTGTTGACTCCCAGCTCTTCCCCAGTGCAGGCTGATTAATGGCGTCCTCCTTTCTACCTGTAGTTCCATTCCCATCTATCCCACCGTGCCTTCTTGGCCCAGTTTGAGCAACCCGTCAACTATCTCCTCTCTCTGAGATGGTTCGCTCTGAGCTAGCCAAGTGCAAGGAGCACAATTTGGAGTAAAAAGTAAGTTTTACAGCATTCTTATCTGAAGGAATACCAGCACACATCAGGACTATGCAAAATGGAATGGTTTTGGTTGGCTTCTTTCTTGCTTTAAAGTGGTTTCTCATTTTCTACTTCGCCTTCATTAGGACAATGGCGTTATTTGCTGGTTAAATGCTTGTCTCCCTTCTATCTTTCCTTTATCTCAGATTTATTGCTTCAAGCTGAGAGTCCTCTATACAACACACTGCCCCCTTTACCCCTGGGCTCGTGTTAAGTGTCCTTCATGCACAGGGGGACTCTTTTTGCATGACAAGCCTATCACAGGGACTGATTTGGGTAACACCATGGTAACAAGTTGCCGGTAGCCTGGTGGCTGCTGCCGGGTCTGGCTAAGTTGCAGAGTAGCAAGCTGCTTGGTGGCTGCTAAGCCACTGCCAGGTTCAGCCGATCTACGCAAGTTGCACGGTAGCAGGTTGCCCGGGAGAGTCATGCAGTGGCTGCCACCGGTCTTGGCCAAGTTCTGTGGGAGCAGGTTGCCTGGATGATGGGGGGCTGCTTCTGGGCCTGGGTGAGTTGGATGGTAACCAAGGGCCTGGGCAAGGTGCACAAGCTGTACAATAGCAAGTTGTCCAGGGGTCAGCACTGGGCCTGGACTCAAGGGTAGTGGCAGGGTAGGTGGCAGTGCCTTTCCAGGGGTGTTTTGGCGTCCAAATCCCTCTCTGCCCCCCCTTGACTGACGAAAACCAAGGTCTCAAAGGGTGAGCAATACTGTCGTGGCTGCCTGGGAATCCCCTCCAATGGCCACCGAGATCTCAGTGGACATTCATTTCTTCAAGCTACACAACGGCTTCAATTATTTTGAGTTTTTTTAACCCTCCCGTTTGTTACTGTTTGTCGTCCTTTAGCTTTCAGATATTTCTGCAAACCCCGGGCTTCCCTTAGGTTTGTGGACACCCCCCCATACGTCCCAGGCTCCATTGTGCGGCTTTTTGATCCACTTTACAGTCCAGTTTAAAATTCGATATAATGATATAATAAGAAACATAGGAGGGAACATCCCCAACTCCTGTCACTGCTTCTGCATGCTGCTCCTGCAGCCGCTTTCCACTCTCCTTTCCTTCCCTTTACTCGCGCCTCCCTTCCCAGCTGTTTCTACCTCTTCCATCCTATTATTCCCCTCTCCTCCTTCCCTTCACTCGCGCCTCCCTTCCCAGCCGTTTCTACCATCCTATTATTCCTCTCTCCTCCTTCCCTTCCCTTCACTCGTGCCTCCCTTCCCAGCCATTTCTACCTCTTCCATCCTACTATTCCTGTCCCAGTCCCTAACCTCCTCCACTTCTGTCTTCTCCGGTTAATGGAAATCCTGAGTAAACATGGCATCGCTTTAACGTTCAGTGGACCGGTCGGCATGCTCAACAGAGCAGTAAGGCTGGCGGAGCATTGCCGAACAGATGCTGCCATCAAGTCTGCAATGCATTCTGCACACTTTTTGCTTATATGAAAGCCCCAGGAATTTCAGCACAGCCCACATGAGGGAGGATGGTGTCAGCTAGACAGTGCCTGGCTCTTGCATCCCGGAAGCATTGGCATGCAGGCATGACTTGCAAGTTAAACATATCCAGAGAACCACAGATGACTGGACACAAGGCTGCCCCTTCTCAGCAATCCCAGGTCCTGCATGGAATCAACAGCATCGCTGCTAAGATTGGGTTTTCCCCACCCCATCCAAAAAAAGTGACAAGGGAGAGGGCAGCGGTGGTGATATGAATCCCCCAGTGTTCCCTCTAAGCTGAGTTAGTGTGAGCCAGCTCACAGTTTTTAGCCTCCAGCTCACACATTTTTGTATTTGCTCAGGAAGGACGGCACCAGAGCAAACTAATTTATGCAGTTGCCAAATCGCTCACTCACAACTTTAACACCAGTAGCTCACAAAGGAGAAGCTTTGCCCACAAGACTCCACAGCTGAGAGGGAACATTGATCCCCACCAGTAGAAAGTCTTAGAATCCGTTGCACTCTAGCTAAATTACAACCTTCTATTCATCAGAGGAGTTGGTTTTGTCTCCTAAACTTACTGACAGATTTGCATAAAGAGAAACATCCCCAAACAGCATACATAGAGGGCTAGTCCTCAGGGAGACCGGCAACCTGTGCTCAGACTGCAGAAAGGGGATCATGTGACTGAATAACTCTCCATGTGAAACTGTCACGTCACAAATTAATACATTTCTCCCCCCCCCCAAAAAGCAACTTAGGTGAGGCAAGCTAGTGTTCCTGGGGGAGCCGTGCACCCAACTGACCCCATTCTGGCTCTCCAGAAGACCCCGCCTGGCAATGCAAAGTGGTATGCCCCAGACACAAGTTAACTGCCTCCAACCATGAGGACAAAAACACCCACCCGTCCTTCAAATGTTTTTTTTTAAATACATACCGGAGGCCCAGGGGGTCCTCGAGGACCGGGGGGACCCTAGGAAGACAAGAATCGGAGAGGTTATCTCAGAGGGCCCCCCCCCTGAATTATTCCGCCAAGTCCAAACATCCAGAGCAGGCACAGAAGCACTACTGGTCACGTTCCCAGGCACTTTTAGAAGCACTGGGAGGGCTCCCGGTTGGGCTGGCTTTCGGTGTGGCAGGGCTTCAGCAAATTCAGACATCACACTAGCCCACCGTTTGGCTTCCCCGCCTGTGTTTTGCCATAATGTCTGGATTCAACCAGGGGATATAAACGCAGTCAGTGAGGAGTGTGTCACAGCCTTCCTCTAAGAGGGTGAGGCAGGTGAAATGTTTAATTCTATCAAGTGCAGCCCACCCTTAAGAGGCTCAGGCAGTCCAGAATGGGACCGAGGAGAGGGGAGGCAACACAACAGAATCGGGGGGTGGGTGGGATGGGGGAGGCTATTCCTCCGTGTCCACCTAGGCCCAATCTGCATCTAGCCTTCGCTCCGTTGTTTCACCAAACCCACACTGGAACAGAACAAGATGCAGCTCAAAACCACATTCAGATACCCGGGGGCCAAAGCCGTACTGACTGCAGAGTCACCCCTGAACGGCCATAAAACGGCCATAAATCTATGCAGACAGTCCCATAAAACCGAGAGATCGAACGGAGTGGAAGCGGCATGCAGTCTGGACGCTGCCAGAAAATCCGACAATCAAAGGAAGCGAAAGTGGCATGCAATGCAGAGGGGAATTTCTGTTCCAATGTGGGTTTGGTAAAACAGCGGAACAAATGCTAGATGGAGATTGGGCCCTAGATCAAAGAGCACAGCTGAGTTCAAACTCCCTCACAACTGTGGTTTAAGTGTGTTGGAGGGGGGGTGTCACCCCAACTGCAAGAATAAAGGCATCATAAGTTTTGCATATTATCTACAAAATTCATGCATCTGCAACATTTATTCATGCAGGTAAGCATACTTATGAATTATATGAACATATATACAAAAATATTAGTAAAGGTAAAGGTTTCCCTTGCTTGAAAGCCAGTCGAATCCGACTCTACGGTTGCGGTGCTCATCTCCGTTTCAAAGCTGAAGAGCCAGCGCTGTCAGAAGACGTTTCCGTGGTCATGTGGCCGGCATGACTAAACACCAAGGTGCACGGAACGCTGTTACCTTCCCACCGAAGTGGTACCTATTTATCTACTTGCAATTTCTTGCTTTCGAACTGCTAGGTTGGCAGGAGCTGGGGCCAGAGACGGGAGCTCACTCCGTCAAGCGGCACTCAGGTCTCGAACTGTTGAACTACTGACCTTCCACAGCCTGCAGTTCAGCGTCTTAACCACTTGAGCCACCGCAGCTTCACAAAAATACCAAAACTATATCAGCCACAAAGAGAGACCAAAACATTGAGGAAGGGGGTATCTGCTTCACAGTGCTCAAAATAACACAAATAGCATGTGAGAGTTCGGAGCACAGGGAGGAACAATCTGATTGACGGGAAGCTGGTCTAATGACCACTTTCAAGTAATCCCCTTGGTTGGGAGCCCCGGCTCTTTCCATTCATCCTGAGCCAGGCCTCTGCCGGCTGTTGATATGATCTTGGCTCGACTCTAATTCTGCCATTGTTCTGTTTCATTGAGTTCATTCTTCGCTGAGCTTGCCCTTGTTCTTTGTTTGGTGGGCTTTTTACATCCCCTGGTATCTGTCCAATGTGTGTTCTTACACTGCCGCTTGGCACCAATACCTTTTGCTGGGGCTTAAAAAAACCCCACACAAACGTATGTATGTCAACAGCCCATTTCTCTGCTCCTTCTAGCTTTCCAAGGGTTTGGTTTTGCTTCAGCAAAGCTTCTGGATGGAAGCCACAATTTATGTTAGCAAAGGGTCTGACAGCCTCACCTTTGGACCTTGCAATCCCTGGAAGAAAGAAGAAAATGAAAAGGGGTCATTCACTGAGACCACTTGGTGGTTTTCTAGATGTACTTGCAAATGACAAAAATGACAACATTGAAATGAGACCACTTACCAAAGCCATTCAGTTGGCCTTGAGATTTATAAGAATTTGCTAAGGTTTACTTCTCCGGTCACCATATTTCTGATACTGATCGTAACATACAAACATATGTATACGTGTACATTGTGGTGTATGACAGTGTTGCATCGAGCCGGCATTGTGCAATGAAGAAAGTGTTGGAATTACAGAGAGCAAGAATCCCTTGCTCAAAAGCCAGTCGAATCCAACTCTAGGGATGTGGTGCTCATCTCCGTTTCCAAGCCGAAGAGCCAGTGCTGTCCAGAGACATTTCCGTGGTCATGTGGCTGGCATGACTAAACGCCAAGGCGCACGGAACGCTGTTACCTTCCCACCGAAGCAGTACCTATTTATCTACTTGCAATTTCTTGCTTTCGAACTGCTAGGTTGGCAGGAGTTGGGGCCAGAGACGGGAGCTCACTCCATCATGCGGCACTCGGGTCTCGAACTGTCAAACTACCAACCTTCCGGTCTGCAGTTCAGCGTCTTAACCACTTGAGCCACCGCAGTCCCTCCTTTACCTTACTTCTCCAGTCACCAAATTTCTGATACTGATCGTAACATACAAACATATGTATATGTGTACATTGTGGTGTATGACAGTGTTGCATCGAGCCAGCATTGCGCAATGAAGAAAGTGCTGGAATTACAGAGAGGAGACCTAATCCTCACTCAGTCATGACGCTCACTGTGTGTCCTTGAGGTGCCACAAAATGAGGGGAACCTCATATATAACTTGCCTTGAGCTCTCCGGAGGAAAAGTTAAACACACAAATAGTCTGTTTCCAGCCTGTATTTTAGACCCTCTCTCTATAGAACTGTACCTACTATGAATAATCCATTTCCTGATGACAAGCCCTTAGTGGCTCAAAACATGCTGGTCTTGCTTTATCTATGAATATTGCCACCTCTGTTCCTTCAGGATGCTTTATCCTTGCAAAATATGGACATCTGAGACATTTGTAACCCAGCCCCCCAGATTCCTCAGACAAGGATCTGCGACCCTGGATTTATCACAGAGATCAGAGGGGTGTGTGTGTCTCTGCAGGGGAAGATGAATTATCAGACCCTGAGTCTGGGAGAGACGACTCAGAGCTTCCGAGCGCCACAGAGCCTGCTTTTCCTTGTATAACGTCCCAGGTGCCAATCCCTGGCACGCCAAGCAGCAAGTCCAGGAGTGAGTTCTGCCTGAGGCCTTGCAGAGTGCCATTGCTCATTAGAGGAAACACTGCCAGCTCAATACAAGGCATCCTATGTCCACCCCCACTTAAATCCCCTGAAGATTTATTTGAAGGGCAGCGCTCCGGCTGAAGGGCGTCAGGCTTCACGTAGGGATGGATATAAAGGTTCTCTTGAGCTTGGGACTTGGCTGGATCAACCCCTGCAGTGTCTCTGGGAGCTCTCCCAGGTCCTGAGGGACCTGAGCCTGACTGAGTCAGTCCACAGCCAGTTCCCTGTTCAGTGCTCCGGGTTGCTCTTTGCTCCAGAGCACTTCCCCAGCTCGGCCTGGAACAGGACGGCAATCATGCTAAAACTACCAACTTGCCAAATGCAATATTTACACATATATCCACACGCTCTAAAACCTCTGCAAATCCAACAGCATCCATGACTGGAAACTGCCAGGAAAGCACATTTAATTAGTGGAATAATAAATCTTTGTAAGTTTGAACCAACACTCAACGCCACTCTCATCCAAATTCCTCTTAGCTTCAGTGACATAGGCAAGTCCTAGATTCAGGTGGGTAGCTGCACGGGTCTGAAGTCACAGAACAAAGTTTGAGTCCAGCGGCACCTTGAAGACCAACAAAGTTTAAACTCTGCTGGTCTTAAAGGTGCCGCTGGACCCAAACTTTGTTCCGTAGGTAAATCCTAGCAGGTAGGACTTTGACCAGCAGTCTTCAAAGCTGATGTTCAACAATCCAGGGCAATGTTCCCTCTAAGCTGTGGAGTCTTGTGAGCAAAAATTCTACTTTGTGAGCCGCTGGCATTAAAGTTGTGAGCGAGGCATTTGGGTACTGCATAAACCAGTTTGCTCTGGAGCCATCCTCCCTGAGCGAAGACAAAAATGTGTGAGCTGGAGGCTAAAGAACTGTGAGCTAGCTCACACTAACTCAGCTTATTTATTTATATTTATTTAATTTTTAATTTTTGACTTATATACTGCTTTGGCCCCGAGGGGTCTCTTAGAGGAAACACTGATCCAGGGGTAATCTCTATGAGGAAAAGCCACAATATGCTACCACATTTTTATCCCCCTTCCAGGGGGCATGAATGTTCTCCCCTCGTCCATTTTTTTCTCTTCACAACCACCCTTTCAAGAAGGCTAGGTGGAGAGAGGGCCACGAACCCTAAGTCACCCAAGAAAGCTTCAGGGTTGGGTGCGTCTTCAAACCCAAGTCTCCTGGCTCCTATTTCAACACTCTAACCGCTACCCCACACGGGTAGGGTGTGGGAGAGCACATCTATGCCCATTCAGTTTCTGACTGGTTACAGCATGAGTCTGTGAAGTTAATGCATGGCACAGCCATTAACGCATGGCACAGGTGAGCCAGTCCCTGGAGCGCAGTGCTAGAACATCTGCACAAGGCCCGAAGCTCATTCTCTGGTTACGTCTTAGGTAACAAGCCGGAAAAGGCCTCGAGTCCTTGGAGAACCCCGGCCAGTCCAAACAGGTAGTACACAAGACTTGAGCAGCTGGCGGTCTGCCTCGGTAGAAGAGAGATGACTTCATATGTTTCTGAACACCTTAGCTGGACGTCCCACACTTTACTTTCATTGGTCACTTGCCAACTGTCATGAGATGAGACATCACGTGGTCTACTTACACCCATGTGTGAATCAGCCCCCCCCCCCAAAAAAGCGAAGGGCCACTCCATTTCACCACGGCTGCCTTTGTCTCCTTTGGGGCCCTGTGTGATTTAAACACAAAACAAAACACACACACATACGTAGATTTACTATTATTGTACTCCAGATCTCGCGATCACAGGGAGGTGGAGGGAGGGGCCAGGGGCATTCAGGCCGGCTCTCCCTCTTTGTGTGTTGACTGCACACAAGGACATTACAAGGGAGTTGTTACCAGCTAAATATCAGGAGGAACTTCCTAACTGTAAGAGTGGTTAAGCAGTGGAACAGACTGCCTCAGGAGGTGGTGGGATGCTCCTCCACTGGACGTTTTCAAGCGGAGGCTGGA